CCCGCCGTACCGTGGTCTGCAGCCCCGCTCCCCCCCGTCACCTGTTTTGTGAGAGGAGTTCTGCTTTTAACGTGTTAAAACGGGAAACTGCGTGTTTTCCAGTCGCTTTAGGCAACCCAAAGTCGTGACTGAAGAACTGAAGTTCAGCTGGCTGTCCGCTGCAGGAGCAGCCGCTGAGCAGCCCTGCCAGTGCTGGGTGGACTTCTTTTTCCGAACAGTCTGTTAGATAAAGATTAAACGCCGCCCCACGCGAGGATCAGCAGCCTGCTCAGACCGTTCCACTGTGACCCTTCTCTGTCTCAGCTGAGCCGTGGAGCCCCCGCACTGCACTGCAGAGGAGGCACATGGCTGTGCTGGAGTTTATCTACTCCAAACTTATTTGTGAGTTTGGTTTAGGTTAAGGGGTTTCATCATTAGAAGGCAACATGAGCTGGAATGTTTGCTGCTCGTTTAAACAGTTGGAACAGAAGCTGAGCAAACTGTGTGACCTTATACGTAATGTTTACTGAAAGGGATTTTCTTAATATTCCTACTCCTGCAAGTGGAGGAATTAATATAACAAAGTACATCCATAACAAGTTGTTGGTTGTTACGTTCATTTTCGTGGCAGGGAGGGAGGGATGGAAATTTTTGTATTGCAGAGATCCATCAAGCTTGCGTTGCTTTGGGTCTGTCTTTGGACTGCATAAAGAATGGACGTTTCTCTCTGTAAATAGGTGCAGTGTGATGTAGCTATCTGCAGCAAAAACACTGGGTGGGGAAGGCTCTCTCATCCTAAGAGAACTAATGTTGGATTTGATACTGTGTCTGTCATGTAAGTCTCAATCAGGTTTGCGTTGCGCTAGCGCCAGCGGATAGTTGCTCTGCTGCACCGCAGTGTACTTGCTTGTGTTGATGGAATTTCCTTCTGTCCTGACCCCAAGTAGCATGTGGCCTGACTGAAGGAGGGATGTAACACAAGCCAAATGATCAGAATACCACATACCCATCTGACTAGTTATCTGGTTTTAAGCACTAAACTGGAAAAAAATGTTACACACTTATCTGCTTTGTCTGCTGTGATGCTTTTTGTGTATCAGTGATGTTCCTTAAAGTTCCTTCTCGGCTCCAGCGTCTTTTGGGGATGGGCAGGAGCATCTCCAAGAACTCTGTCAACTAGTGATCTCTACAGCAAAAGAAAGGAAAACTTGTAAGTGATGCGGAAATCATCAGCTAGCATACGTGCCCTTGTAACTTCCTGAACTGAATTCCCATCCACCTTCTTTTCCCTTTCTTCCACTCCTCCCAGCTTTCCTCCTGTACAGGTATACCTGCCTCAATGGCAGAAGGCAGCTTTTATCAGTTCATGACGTATTTTTAAATCTCCTTATATTAATAAAACCAGTTAGTAGATGTTACCAGTGAAATGCAAATAAACCCTGGCCACTATAGTATGCAGTCCTAACCTCCTTATGAAATGGGAAATGTTTTACTTCCTCAAGAGTTTCTGCTTAGTATGTAGCTCTGAAATTCTGTCACTTTTTGATCACAGGGATGCTGCTGCTTTTGAAATCAGTTGGCTTCAGAAGCAGCCTGCTCTAGTTACTGAAGCGAGATACGTCATCGGGTAAAACTTGTGTTTGTTTTCTGAACCTGTCTGGAACATTGCTGATAAAAATTTCTGTCCTGACAAGTCAGACACTCTATTGGGAAAAAAAAAAAGCAAAGAAACCTAGTTATTTTTAAAAAGCTATTGTTTTCCTTGGATTTTTGTTTCAGATGCCTTCTGTTCCTCATCTGACGCTGGCCTTCTTGGATACTTTTGGTGTATAGAGAAGGGAGAATTCTCTAATTCCAGGGTCATCTTCTGGTCCAGCTTTTCATGTACAGTCCTCTTATAAAACTCCCAAGTTAGTAGACTCAAACTACCTATTAGTTTCTTGCATGAGAGTTTTTATTCTTATGACCTTGTCACTGAGCTGCTGGCCCTAACAGAGTTCTACTGCAGTATCCAACAGTACTAAATATAAATTCCAAGAATCTTCTGAGGGTTTTTAGCAGGATCTTGCTTTTTCCCACTGACTGTTTTGCTAACCCTTTTACCCCTGTGCATGGTAAGAGTGATCATGTAAAGTATATTTGGGTTATTTTACTCACACAAGAGAGAGAGAGAGAACGTATGTGGAAGCGGTTAGCAAAATTTATGCTCACCTCGTTCAATGCTCTTTCACTCTAGAAGATTCTTACTTTGAAAAAATTAACTATCGGTCATATTTATTGTTTTCAGAAAGCTTTTGAATTTTAGCACAGAGAAATCACTAGGACCTAGTAAATGCCTTTTCTTTGCTTCTGAAATTCCATTTTAATGAGTTATAAACCCATTGTTCCCTATTTCTTGCATAGTCAGTGTGACTCTGGTCAGTGTATCCACATATCTCAACATAAATATTTTTAGTGAAGACTGAGTCATATGCCTACTAAAGCAACAGCAATAACTTTCAAAAACAGAGCAGTAAACAAACTCTAACTTGGTTATAAGTTTTTATTTATCTGATGTAATCTTTCCATGTTATTAAGTCCATGTGGATGGATAGTAATGAGGTAATGAAATAGCCATTATGTGTATTTTTGCCCTTAGTATGCAGCTTGTGATTCCTGCTTAAGTCTGCAGACCTCCTAGTTTGGGATACAAGTTAACTTTTGTTATCCCATTATTTTCTGTAGGAGTGCCCCAGGGATCCACAATCCAGGTGGTAATGAAAAGCATAAGGGCATCAATTAGGGAAGGCAGGGAAGAGCCAGGTGCTCTCAGTTGTGATAAGATGACATTTGATTATTGGCTGATATTACTCCATCTTCCGCATATTTAAAATAGCAGATTCCACATATTTAAAATAGCAAATGACCTCAGCCTTTCACTAGTTATCAAAAACTGTTTTTCCAAAACATCATCCATGGGTAAGGACGCTCTAGGAAAACGTCCTAGGCTAGGAAGAGAAATGTTACATGTTTAAGGAGATTTCAGCTCAGGGCTCTTGATGAATGTCTTCTTTATTCTCTAATGCTGGACAAAGCTTAGACGATACCTCAAAGAATAAGTGGGATCCGAGCTTGTCTGTTCAAGATAGATTAAACGTAACCTGGGTTAGGTGTGGGGGAAGAAGCCGTGCTAAAAGGAGGTTGGAGAGCCTATTGTATGGGAGTTGACTGAACGGGTTTAGCTTGTGTAGTCTGGTAAGACTGATGACTATCTATAAATACAGTACTGGGATAAAAGAGAATGAAGTCGAAAGAAAATAAAAAAAGGTAAAGCACCTGTAAACATGTCTCTTCTAGATAGGAGAAAGTGTTTTCCAAAATCTTCCTGTTTCAGTTCTGGGGACAGGAAACCTTACCTCCTTATGCTTTGTAAACTTACAGAAAGAATTTTATAATGTGATACCTATTGCAGGTGGGGTTTGCACCTGATGCTTCAGGGTGTTCATTTCAGTCTTTAACTTGAGGGATTTATGAATATATCTTCTTACAGTTCCCTATGAGAAGTTGCATTCTCCCCACTTTACAAATGGGGGAAATGAGATGACGGGGTTTGTCTGATGCCATACATTAAAACAGGGAAAGGGAGGCAGAACAACTGTGAGGTGTTGTGAGGTGGCCCTAGTTCTATGCCAGTGTTGTTGCCTATAGGAAACAGTGCCTTGCTTTTAGAGATCCTTGTCATCCAGTGAGAAAATTGCAACCAAAGTAGATGGGTGACTTACCTGAATTTCTAAATGGTAGACTTCGGGCAGCTGTCACTGAGGAGCCAGAGAACTAGCCCAGAAATAAGTCGCCACCAACTGATGCTTTAAATGATTTAAAGGACAGGTACTGGAATTTATTTACATAGCTATTTGTAAATATTCTGAATTTTAGACGACTCCATAGGCCAAATCATGCTAGATCATTAGTCTGTTGTAGGTCTAATGAAGTTACTTATCTCTTAATCGAGACTTTAGGTCTTACCTTTTTTACACTGAATATTCTAATAACACTTCAGTACTTCTACAAAGTCGCTTGCAAAGCTATAGAACTATACAACATTCTGCTTTAACATTTCTAAAAAAAAAATCTTTTTTTATTTGGTTCTTGAATTCCCCCTCCTCCCCCATCTAATAGGAGTTTAATGTTTCTGAACTATGTGGTAAATCATCACGAGGAGAGTCTGTAAAACTTCTAGAGACACTTGAGTAAAACTGTTAAAGGCCATCAGTGATGCTGACTAAGCATAGTATTATAATGTAGCATAGTCCTGTTTTCAGTATAGCAAAACCTTTTCTGTTCTTTTAGCCATTTGCAGGTGTCAGCATCAAAGAGATGTATTTCTGTAACTGAGGTTTCTTGGACATAACTGAATGGAATGTTTTGGCAACTGATAAAAGTTTTGGGTTTAAATATGTTTCATGACATTATCAGCCTTCAAATTCAACGTAATAAAATATATTGTGGCCTTGGATTCTTAATAGATCTAAATCAGAAGGCACTAATTTATGTTACTCTTTATGGAAATTGGTGGTGCAATGGGAATTTTAATGAGTATATGTGACTGTGAGATAAAAGACACTACCTATGACTTAGGAAGTTTTTGAACTATGAATTGTTGAAGGTCAGAAGAGTATTCTAGGGAAATGGAAGTACATGTTGGCTTTTTTTTTTTTTCTTTTGCTGTTTCCTAGGCATCTGCTACTGGCCACTGTAAGAGTCAGTGTTCCGGGCTAGGTGGGCCTTTGGCATGATTTAGTTGAATTAGTCTGTTATATGTGTAGAGTAAATAATTCTGCAGTATTACCTGAACTTGCCAGTAGTTCATTTATTATGTTGTCTGATTGCTAGAAGTTTGTGTTCATTTCAGGTAGTTTCATTGCTGATACACAGAAAAGTCCATATTCCTCAAAACAAGCTTGTGTATTGTTAGTCTTTTGTGGATTTTGTTAAAGACTGAAAAGACTCCCTCATTGCTCCTCAAGCTTCCTTAATAAATATATAGTATAACAAAACTTGGAAGATCTCAGCTTAAAAAGAAAAGGTGCAAAATGTGGAGGCTGACTTGCCAGGTTACATTCACAGAGAATGGAAACGTGCTTATATTAGTAACCTTTGTGCTTGCCTAAAATCTTACTGGTTTTACTGTTTGGTTTTGTAGCACTAATTTAACATCATGGCTTTCCAGTTCCCTTGAGTATGCAGTAGCCCATGCTGTGCTGACGTTCAGGTCGCCCACATGCGCTTCTAGAAACTTTTCAGTGAAAATACGTTGAATGAAACAAACACAAATAGGTGGCAATTGGTTATAGCGCTTGGAATAGCTTAAGAGACAAAGGTTGAGAAACACTTCAATTAAGATCTACTCTTTGGGGTTTTTTTAATGTTTTACACGACTAATGCTCCAATATGCTGCTCTTTACAAGAGTGAAGTCTCTGACTTAAATTAGCCATTGAAGAACTTGATTGGACTTCACTGGTATTGTTGACAAACGTTTTAATTAGCTTACTGGATTTCTAAAGACAGGACAAGTTCTTTTATTATGCTTCTCTTCTTTAAGGTTTATTTTACATTTTTGTAGACCTCTGAACAAGTTACATTGCCAAGTTTGGATATCTGAGTTATTCTGCTGTGCACACGGGTACGTATGTATTACACAGTGATAGGGGGCTGATGGCGCTTCAGCAATACAAGTATTCGTCTAAGTGACCAGTGAGGAGTATTTCAGGTGTCAGTTTGACTCAAAGCAAATACTCTGTCTCCAGAAGGTTTGTTTCTACAATAAATATTGCAATACCAAATGTATTTGTGCTCCTCTTTTTGGCTGTGATCCTTTGTTTTTTTTTTCCTTTTTTGAACAAAAATACTCAGGAGGTAGTTTAAGCAGAGCTCACAGTGAACTTGATGTGCGGTGTATTTAACTTTACAAACTTAACATTAAGCTCTGTTCAAACGTAAAGGTTGTAGCTGAGATGCCGGCTGCTGTTGTATTTTGCTAAATTACCGAATTGCAAAGGTTAAAGATTTCAAGTGAGGTAGAGGGGATGGAAGATCAGAGTTCTTGCTCTGCAGAAGCTAGCAGGTGTAGCATCAGAGCTTAGTTAACTTCCTGCCTACTTACATGCTTTAAATAAAATAATAAAGTCAAGTCAGCCTGCACTGTCAGTATCCTGATCTACACCACTAGCGTTTTGGAAATGTCCGCCGCTTCAGTAGTTTTGGAGCTAGTGGTAACACAGGTTTACAAGCGAAGTCCAGCTCCCTGTAGATTTCCCTGACGATAACGAAGACTTGCCTCTTGCTCAGTAACAAGAACGCTTCAATGAAGAATAGTCACAGTGATACCCAAGACTTAGTTTTCTTCAAGTTCATAGTTGTTTTAAAGTTGTTCTTTGTGTAGGCTGTTACATGTTTTGCATGAGATAGTTTAACTCAGCCCAAAGCAATTTTTTAAAACTGTATGGTTATAAATTTCTAAGATGATGATGAATGGGTTCCTTATAACTAGCTTTATCTGTTGCATGTGAATAAATTGCATGAGTAAGAAAAATAGCAGTAGAAGGATTATTGAACCTAGTAAAACTGGAATTTAATAGCTGGAGCTTTTTTCCTTAAAGATTGAAACTTACTGCCATCCAACTGTAAAAGAATTTTTGCACTTTTAGCGACTTGAAGGTATTGAAGTAAGGCAACAAGCTATATTTCTCTGTCTTATAAATGACCTTGTGAATGGTACACGAGACCTGATAAAACTTAGCTTGAAAGCTCATGAAATAATGTAAATGTAAGGGCAAAAGAAATTTAATAGTTTTTTTTAAAGTACAAAATCTATTATTTTTTTTAAGGGAAACAAAATAAGTTAGGTGGAATATATTTTGTTTGTCTCTTTTGTTTTCAAGGTTTGGCTTGAGCAACAAGTTTGATACAGAATTTCCTTCTGTTCTGACAGGGAAGGTAAGTGTGAGATTAAACTGTTCTTTTAAATGGAAAGATCCAGTGCGTCCAGTGGTTTCTGTGTTACGAATACATGCTCGTGAATCCGCAGTGCAGGCCAGCACTGCGCTGAAGACTGTTGAATTAACTCTGTCCTGTATGAACTAGCTGGTTGACGTCCAGTCCCTACAGTGTACTCTGAAACAAGAAAAAATGATTTGCAGTGATTGCTATCGTTATTGACATTCTAAACACAGAAAAGCTCAACATGGCATCATACTGTTTTCATGCAGGCAATCTACATGAAAGCAAGACTCGCTTAACCTTGCTTTATAGATCTGGAGTTTGCGCTACCTCCCGTGTGAATTAAATTATTTCAAATACTAGACCTCTCTTTTTAATATGTCTGTCAAGCCTTGAGTTTATATTTAGACAGGTCTCTGGAAGAAAATCTGTTTTATCTGAAGCTTTAAGGAACAAAACATTATAGTGTTAAATCTACAAATTAAGTAGGGTTTTAGTACATTTTCAGAAATACAGTAATTGTTTAGTTCTGAAAATTAGAGGTGACAGGTCTCTTGCTTTCTCTGGAGTCCTGTCATCTTACTAAGTGCAAGTGCAATAAATATTCATTTGTAGCTATTAATTAATGAAATCTTGTAACAAAATTCTTGGTTACGGTCCTAAATTCTTTTCATAATTTTTTTTCTTCTTTTAGACTTTCGAATTCTTTTTCTCTTGGATTTTTTTCTTTCTGCTGTTTCACTCTCTAGTGCTTTTCTTTTGCTTCATTTTATATCCCCCTTGTGTATCTTTTCCAGAATAGGTGAGGAAAGAGTTTATTTGGCTCTGACTACTTTCTCTAATGTCATACCATACAGCTACGCTACCTCTGCAGCCTCTTGCAGTAGCTGTTGAGTCATATTAACAATATACTAAAATGCAGCTGGATGGCGTCTCCTGGTTCTGCCAAATCCATCTGGTGTTTTTCTCCTTCATTTTCACCCCCTAGTATAATGAGTAAAATACTCGTGTTGAATTTGTCCAGCTTTTTTGACAGCAGTACAAATGAAAAGCAGGTTGCTGTTTGGAGTTTTTGGTTGTTAAAAGACAGCCTGGGAACTCTGGCCTTGCTTCAGAATCTCACTGCGCTCAAAAGGAAGAGTCTGACCGATTCCATAGTGTCGAACGGGAGGGCTGGCGATAACACCATTTGCATTTCACTACCTTGCATGTTTAAGGTTGATTCTTTTTTGCGAAGCTCTTTCTGATCACTGAAAAGCCACAGAATACTTCCTGGAAATAATTTTTATGTTCTTCTATTCAAGTTGTAGTTTGTTATAAATTAGCCAATAGAAAATACCTAGCAGGAAACGTTAAAACTTAATTTGATTATATAATTTCGTCTCTTTCTCTCTCTCTAAAATATATTTGTGTATATTAAAAAAACAAAACAAACCCAACCCCCCCAAACCTATGCTTTTTCATACGAGCATCAACGCCTGTCACATTTTTGACTTGATCGTCCTCCTCTTGTTAAACACACAGTGAGCAAAAGTTTAAATTAAAGTTCAGTTCATTGTTTGGACTTAATTTAGCAAAAAGAGGAAAGAGGAAGTTCTTTCCTTCTACTTGGCATTTACCCTCATTCTTCTATAGATCTGATCAGTGACAGCATAAACCATGTGAGCAGGGATTTGCTGTACGTGTGTGCTGCTTCTGTTCAGAATCTTGGTATGCTGTCTTTTTCTCATGTGGATTTGAGGGGCTTTCTGAGTAAGAAGACCTTGAAAATAAATTAGGTCCCTCTTGTGAGGGGAAAACACCAATCAAATGAGGTAGTAAACACATTTTTCTTACTGCCTGCCACACGCTGCCATGAAAGACATTAAAAACCACGGTTGTGGGTTTTTTGGTTTTTAATACTTTCATGAATTGCAAGAAATAAATAATCTGCTTCTTCCACTGGTTGTGGCAGTCAATCATCTTTATCCCTATTGAAAATGAAAACTCAGTCAGTTTTTTCCAGTAAGAAGGTTTTCTTCAAATGCCATGATAAATAATTCACAGTCATAAGCATTGTAGTTGATACACTTTAAGATCTTTTACTGTTCTTAAAATACAGATTTTTTACTTTTTATGAAATGCAATTTATGAATAGCATAGCGACTTTATATTAACAGTTTGTGATTAAAATGTTTACTATGAACTTGCATTACTACACAGCTAGTGTAAGGCAATGTCATACTTTATTCAGAAAGTCTGTGTAACGTTAAGTTTAATGGCTTTGTTGTCCAGTGTGAATTGATATTAATAATATATCCCATCTGCTAATGGACTGTAAAAGACGAAGCCATTAGGTGGGGCTGATAGATTTCTCTATAGTATTGTTTTTCTTTTTGATAAATACAGATGAAGATCTAGGTTTTTAAACATAGGATGAAAATCTATCCAATGCACAATAGAAATCCTAACTAGATAAAACTATCTAGCTACACCTTTCTCCCAGAAGCACTAACTTTTTGGCTTTATGACACTGTGTAGTCTTAGGAATTTACTTAAGCTTCCTGACCCTCAGTTTGCCCATCTACATAATGATGATAGTAAACCTTCCGCTAATTTTCTTGGTTTTAAAATCTGAAATACCCCTCCTCGTTCACCCATCTACCCTACCTCCTCATCTCCCAGTTTTTACAGAGTCTGGATAGGTATTGTAAATTAGCCTAGGGCTAAGAGGCATGTAATTACATCTTAAATATTTAATTGAGACATGTTTGTTGCTTTTTTGGGGAGAGGTGAATGTGTATATTTGAGGATAAAACATAGACAATAAAACAGTAAAGGAAAGGAAAATATCAGGTAGGTTAGATGTTGGGCCTCGCTAATTCAGCTAGATTGACTTAATATCTATCTTGCAGGGTGAGACACAAGCTTCAGCTGGTTTATGAAGACCGAGCTGGGCTTTCAAACAGTGCATTCTTCTCAACAGAATATTGTAAGAAAAGAATTGACTGCATTTAATACAGAGGCAATATTTAACTTTTAATAATGTGATTGGACTTTGGCCTACATTTAAATTCTGTGTGCTACAGTTTGATGGGTTTATTAATTCTTTTAAAACAAGCATTTAAAAGCTTTTAACAAAATACTCTTCATGATATATGGTGCAATAGAACACAGTGCTCCAGGTGACAAGAAAATGATGGAGGCAGTGAACCTTAAGGAAGAAAGTGGAGTTTCCTGCCCTCATCTTAAAACAGTAAGGGTCCTATACAGAGATGACTGTGCAATGCAGGGAAACGTAAGCCATAAAATGGGGTCTTGGTATTGTGATCCCATTGCAACATGTGATTGATAGGGTTTGTGATCATGATGATTGAAGGAGAAAGATCAGGCCTGCTGGGCTTTACTTGCTCTCTTCCTGTGTTTGTAGATTCTCTTGCATCCTGTTGTAAAATATTATGACACCCCCTCCTTTCCTTTTATGTTTTTTTTTTTTCCCCCTCCCTTAAAGACCTAAAAGGAGCTAATGTCTCTTTACAAGGTGTACTGCACAGCCAGGAGCTATGTACTTATCTCATTCTTTTAAAGACCCAGACAGAAACTTTCCAAGAGACTTTCCAAAATTACTCAAAACTAGACTTTCTTAGGGAGCTTTCTTTGTGCAGGAGGCGCTGTTAATTCTCTTTTTGAAATGCATTAGTGATTTCATATTAACCTTTCAGTATCTGTAACTGCAAGAAAGGTGAGATTTAAAATTATGCCAGAAAATCAACAAAATTCTTTGGTGACCGTTTCATTTGGATACCTTTTTGTTATTAAATTAGAGCAGTTATTTTATTTACAGGTACTTTGTTCTTTGTCACTGTGTAACAATACTTAACTTTGTTACTGAGATGTAAACTGAGAGAAAAAAAACTGTGGTTTGCCTCTATTTATCACAGAATGAGGCTTATCGTGGTTACTGGTTCCTTTAGTTTCAAATGAAGATGTGTCATTGACTGACAGAAATATTTATCGTGATTGCATTTCCTAAAGGGAGAAATATATCCAATAGTTTGGGTTAGCCAAAATCATCTTAAGTAATTTCTTTTTATGTTGCAGCTAAGAGAGTCACTTTTACATGAAAGTATTTGGTGCATTATCAGGTAGTAGTGGTGCTTTCATTATGCTATATTAAGGTGAACATCATACCAAAATTCCTGAAATAGGAATTTTTTCTGTTTCTTGGTGGCATCCCAAGTTGGTTTCTAGTTTAGCCATTTGCAGCTCTGTGCTCTACAGGAAGGAGAGTACTTCACCGTTGTTCTGATAAAGTGGCATCAAACTGTTAACCTGCTGTGAACAGTGACTCCCTTAAAAGTAGCACAGAAATAGGGAATCTCGTCATCCCAGTGCTTTCTTTCTAGGTCCCAAATTTTTCTGCCAGCTGGGATCTAAAAATCTGGTTGGATTCTTTTCACGTTGGATGTTATCACTGCTGATAAGATTTCTTCATGTTAAGTTAAATTCTAGACTCTGTGATTCCGTTGTCTTTAGTAGGTTCGTACAGCTGTATTTTGGGGTTGGGGTGTGTTGTTGTCAAGGGGGAGTAAACTTTGTGTCTAACAGAAAATGAAACATTCTCTTTTCTTTGTGGGATTCATTGTGGAAGTATGAATAGGGTCAAGAAAAGAAACTACTTATTTTTGTCATTCAAATAAACAGAATGATACGTGTACAAATTTCAAAAGACTTATCAAAGAAAGTGCCATTTCTATCTATCTAAATGTTAGGAACATGTAAACTTCCTTAAGAGTTGAGAATGCTAATTTCTTAATGTACGTAATCTCAATTTACTTTGAAGCATGTCTGACTGCAGAAGCTGTACTGTGTTACTCGTGCTGCATACAACCAACCCGATTGTACTTTACTACAAAACTTGCTCCCACATTGAAGATGAAATGGTCTTACTCATGTGCAGCTGATATTTGTGGTATCCTAAATACAAGAGCCAGCATTGCCAAAGAGATGTGTAAAACCTTCTGTCTCAGATACATGCAAATACAGGCTAGTTTTCCACATTACAATGTGATTTTTGTTCTGCTCATTGAAAATGCCCTAATACATGGGATTTCTGGGTTTTTTTGCCATTTTCTTTCTTTCTTCCCCCCCAACCTAAGATGTCTGTTGTAAAATATATTTAAATGTTGATATTCCAGTCAGTTGAAAGAAAAATTTTTTACTTGCTCCATTTGTATATGTAAAAAGAATTATAAGAAAGTCTATTTAATGGGGGGGGGGGGGGGGGCTGTATAATTGCAAGAGAAACACTTTCTGTGTACTTATTAATTCCTGCTATAAAATAATCACAATGTTAAATTATAAATTACAGTTACATTACTAACTGTAGGCCTGGCTTGTGTACAAACCCAGGTGACCTCTGACTCTACACCGCATGGTGATCTGAATGGCCAGGAAACAGATGTTGTATTTATTTACTTCCTTTCCTGCAATGTTTTAATGAATTTAGCTCTTGTGAATAGGCGGAGGTAGCAGAATCAGGTCCTCTCCATTTCCTGTCCCATAGTTTTGCTCCTTTGGTGAAAGGAGTCTTTGTCATTAAATTAATGCTTTTGTTGTTGCCCTTGTTTCCAGAACTAAATGAACAGAGTTGGGCTCGCTTGGTTGGAAGGATTATGTAGGAGTTGCACAGCTCTGTATACAGACTAATTCTGGGGGTATTTTTCTTCAACGTGGCAAGTAGTTAGGAAAGTTGGTTTGGGTTTTGTGGTTTTTTTTTGTTTTGGTGTTGTTGGTGAATTGGTTTTGGGTTGGGGTTGGTTTTGGGGGTTTTTTTTGCATTGTGGTGCCTGACTGGTCAAGTCTATTGAAGTTGGATCTGATTATTCCGCTTTGTGCATTCGAATGCTGGATCGTGTTACAGTTAAGAGCGCCATCTTGGGAGTCTATACCACAAATCCATATTTGACTTGTCAGATATAAGTTATTTAGATTCCGTAGGGAGATGAGGGATTTGGGGTATGTAAATAGGTAAGTGCTCTCACTCTTTTATAAGAAACGTGCTGCTATCGGAGAAAGGAGCTCATTTCTGATAGAAAATGTAATTTTCCACTGTGACTCTGCAGTAGCAAGATATTATTTTGAGTAAGCGCTGCTGAATATTCCTTAATTTAAATAAGTTGTTTTTCAACAGCTAGGCTTTATTCCTAACCCTGTACAAGATGCATTTCTTTGCCTTGAATATAATCCAGTACATGTCTTTCTGGGCTTCCCTATTTTTGGAAGCAGCCACAGGTGAAGCTGTGGCCTCACGTTGATACAGACCACTCCAGGGATTTATTTGTGGACAGAGGTCCACATTCCCCCAGGCACAGTGTAGACTTGCATTGGTATGAAATTAATTTGGACAATATTATCCTTTTTTCTGTGTGACACGTGTTTTTACTACGAAGCTGGCCTGCATTCCCTTGGAAACCAGCTATCTGTCATTCTTGAAATTTTTTTTTTGGTCAGCATAGCCAGTGCACATGTTGCACAGCTGTGTCCCACTTCTAGTTTTGTTTGGGGCCACTATGTTATCAGGACAATTGATTTATTAATGGTGCAATAAATAAGGATGAGGCTGTTCATCTAAGCAATGTTTAGCTTTTTAATGCAAGTTTTCACAAAGCATGCACCATAAATGAATTTGTTACAGGAAAGTGACTTTTCATGCTCACTGGATGACCAGTGTTTCAAAAGATGGGGTCATATTGTATAATCGTATTATATTTCATTTACATTTTAACCTGTAGAGGCAATTATTAAGAAAATACACCTGTAATGGCTTTCCACTGAAGTTCAGCACTTCTATTGCAGGTTGCCCCAGAAGAATTCAAGACCAGCATCAGCCGTGTGAATGCCTGTTTAAGAAAGAATCTCCCTGTCAATGTAAAATGGCTGCTTTGTGGCTGTCTGTGCTGCTGCTGCACACTGGGCTGTAGCCTGTGGCCTGTAGTCTGTCTTAACAAAAGAGTAAGTACGTTTCATGCTTCTTATTCTATTCATTTTGCCATTGCTGATACTGTTAAATAATGTTTAATAGTATCATCCCCGTTTTAAAACCCTTTTTTTGTCTCGCTAGCATTCCAAAGGTTATTCCGTTTTCTATTCTTTAGAAAGTAGAAAAAGTATGTTTGTTAGTGAAGTCAATGATACCAGATCAGCAATTGAATTAATAGTCTTAGGAATAGCTAATCCTATCTCGGGTCAAAGAACAGGATGCAGTATGTGATAACCTTGATTTCCAGGATTTCTAAAGGTCTAAGAATTGAGTTAAATGAGTGCAGAACTGGACATTGACCTTCAAAGGCTGCTTGAACTGGAGTGAAACTTACTTTTCCTCTTCGCACCCCCCCCCACACCCCAGAATAAGTATTTTTTTAAATTAAAAATTACATTTTTGCATGCAATAGTTACCATAACATTTCTGAGCTGTGGTTCATTTGACATATTTTACTGTGCTGTTTCTATTAAGAACAAACACAGATTTGTTTTCTATTCAGGAAGTTTTAAGACTTCCCTTTATTTATTGTCAACAGAAAGCTGACAATTCTTGTAATCGGGTCCAAAGTAATAATTCTGAAAAGCACTTTAGCAATATGAAGTAAACATGATCCTAATTACCTCTATGGTTTACATTTAGAATTGATTTATCACAGCAGTAAATGTTTAGGAAATACATCAACAGGAATAGTGTAATGATAGTCTTTGCAGCTACATAGTTTGTAAGACTTGTAGCCATAAAATTGTATTATCCATAAATGTAAATAGTACGTAGGTGCACTAGAACTATCACACTTGTCAATTTAATTATAGGAAAAGAGCCTCAGTAAAAATCTGTTAAAAAGTAATACTTCTGGCTTTCAAGAGTTTATGATCTTTAATAAAACAAACCAAAAGCAAAAATGAGGAATAGGCATTGCTTTTCACGGAAAATAAAACAGAAGTGTTTTGCCAAACTTTCCAACTTGCTCAAGAAAATAACAGTTGCGTTGACTGGCATTGAGGTTTTGGTTAAAAAAAAAAAAAAAGCACTAAAGGCATAATATGTTAACTTTGTTGAACTGCTAATTGCTGGAGCCTGGATCACTAAAAAGTTACAGGACTTGCTTTAGCTCTTTTTAACTGCCTTTATAAACGTTCTTATTGCAGAGGAATATGCTTGAGAGATCCAGATGGAATATTTGCAGTTCTAAAACCATATTTAATATTCTCGTGCTAGTGAAAATCTAAATAAATGCCTGTGTGATGTTGTAGTGTTAATGTAATTCTCAAGGGTATAAATAATATGTATCAGGTAGGAGTAGGGAAGATCATGCTACTTCTGTGGGTATGTGTGTGTGTATATTAGAGCGATTTGATCACTAACAATCACAAGTATAAGATGGTTCTTAATTTTCTCTTGTGATGGGTTGAACCGAGTCAGCAACTCAGCACCCACCAGCCACTTGCTTACTCCCCCCGACCCAAGCAGGATGGGGGAGAAAAAGTAAGAAAAGTAAGAAAAGTAAGCAAAAGTAAGAAAAAGAGCAAAAGTAAGAAAAATTCATGTGTCGAGATAAAGACAGTTTAATAAGTGAAGGGAAGAAAACCCAAGCGATGCAAAGGCAAATCGCTCACCGCTTCCCACCAGCAGACCGATGCACAGCTTGTCTCTGGGCAGTGGGCTACACTGGAAAGAACTGCCCCCAATTTTATTGCTGAGCATGACGGGACATGGCACGGAATATCCCTTTGGTCAGTGCTGTTCAGCAATAGCTAAAACACTGATGTGGTATTAAAGCTGTTTCAGTCCTAGATCTAAACCACAGCACCATACAAGCTGCTGCGAAGAAAATTAACTCCAGGCCAGCCAGTCCCCGTACACTCACCTGGCAACAAAAAGCATTATGAGATCCAAAGGCTGGAATATGAAACTAAGACAGCTGAAACAGGAAACAACACGTACTTTTAAATTCCAAGGATAGCTTTGTCACTGGAAAAACTTACAAAGAAGTGGTAGATTCTTCACCATTAAGTCTTTGACTCAGGATTGGATAGCTTTGTATCTTTTTTTTAAACAAGATGGTGTAGCTCACCTACCATTAATAGTTTTAGCAAAGAAATGGTGAATAGAATTCTGTGGCATACCACACAGGAACTAGAGCAGATCATCACAGTTGGCTTTCTGTGACCTTAAAAAAAATCACTGAAACGCCAAAAATCTTCTCCTCTCCCACAGTTGTGTAAAGAGCAGAACATGAAGGTCATATGCAATTCGGTGTCCAAGAGCTGAAAATACAGGCACTGCTTGTTGTGAGCTGGAGTTCTGTGGTGTTGAGATTTTCTCAGGATTCAGATAACAGTTACATCAGCAAAATTGGGAAATTACATGTATGGAAATGACATGTTGTCAGTAGACCACCTGTAGTGAGTGCAGTATTTGGCCAAGAGAATGTGGGAGATTCTGTTTTGCTGGCTTGGCTATGGTAGTCAAAAATACTAAATTCAAAAGGATCTCTTACCAAGTAAATGAATTCTGGGAAAGTTGCTGTCCTAAGTTAACAAAAAACCTGTGGGTGTGTTCTTTTTTTTCTGAAGAAGATCTGATGTTGAGGCGTGGGGAGTTCAAGTGGTAGGACTTCCATTTATAGTTTTTCTTTTGCTTGGTTCTACTTCTATAAAACTAACTTATTTTAAATGAATCTTAAGCCAGAAATGCAATAGTAAGATTCTTCTGATGAGGCTGGCTACTGAACCATTTATAATACAGTTTTGACTTACTTTTTAGACTAGAAGATCAATTCAGAAGTTATTAGAATGGGAAAATAACAGACTATATCATAAGGTAAGAAAAGTTAGAGTGCTTGTTTTCTTCAGCTTTAAGAATAGTAGGGGCTTTTTGCGTAATTTGCATGTAGGAATGTTACAGTCTTGTTATAATGCCATACTTTATACTGATCTTAAACCTGTGTCTGAAGTGTTCTGGATCCTGATAATTTGATATTGCTAGCGCTTGTTACATTGCTCATCAAAACAATGCTGCGGTCTGCATTAATCCTTTGATAATTATTTTCTTAGCTTGGTTTGCACTGGAAGCTGAGTAAAAGGAAATGCGAAACTAGCAATATGATGGAATATGTAAGTATTAGTTCTGTTACTTATTTGGTATTCAACATGTCTATGATTTTATAGAGCAAATCCTTAACTTACTGGACTGTCACCTCTCCGAAAAAGGTGCAGTCATGTTTGACATACACCCCTGAAAGCCGCTTTTAACAAGAGCAGCCGTGACATATATTGAGACTTAGAAATTGTCACCGCTAAACATGTTTTCTCTGCATAACAATTCTACATATGCGCTGCAGGTACACTTGTTTTGGTCTGTAATTTGTAGTGAGGGAGACCCACTGGGACTTTGCACATTGGTGTGACTCCCACACCAGTCCATAGTTCTTTAATGCTGATCCGCCTTTTCCATTGGTATTCATAATTCCTTTGATTCAAATTCTTTGTGCAGAAATATTGCATTTTTATAGTAGTGTGGTTTTTGTATGGATCTCTTTTTTTTTTTTTTCTTTTTCTTTCTTTTTGCTAGCTCTTGAATTTCATGAAGTTTTAACCAAGACAGAGAGTCCATTTAGGAAAGTAGAATTTAGAATATTTCTGTGGTCCTGCTACTCCCCCATCCACTGTATAGCTGCAAAGATTGTGTAGGCTTGAAGAAAAGAGATAGTCACCCCAAAAACGCGTCCAGAAGCCCTGTATTTCAAAATGACTGAAATCTCTGCTTTGTTACTTACAGAGTATCTCAGGTTTAGTCTTATGTACTAGCCAATGTTGCATGGAAATTGCGCTGAAGGTTTGAACTTTTTGGTTACTGTGTTCTGTTCTTGTCTTTTTTCCCTTCTTCAACAGGTAATATTAATAGAGTTCTTACCAAAATATCCCATATTTCGACCTGACTGAGGAACAGCATTTGATCTTTCATGTTACCTGTCATTTTCTACCCTTAGTGCCTTGTAGATGATTTTGGAAAGAAGATGGTCTACTTTGCTGTGACTTAAAAATGTTCGTCAGTAGAATATCTTCCTTGCTATGTTACTTTCTTTTGTTAAGAAGAGAACAATTTGCACATTTTTTTTTATGTTAAATGAGGCTTCTATGTTGCACTCTGAATTTTTGACATTAACTGATATGGTTGCCACTAGGGATCTAACATCAGTGCTGCTTAAACTTGTTCTGAGCATGCTGCCTTATTAATTTCTATATTTGCTGTCCTCAAACATGCATCCTAATGCCATGTCATACTATATTTCATTCTAAACGTCGCAATCCTATAAACCCTCAGTAGAAATGTCCAGGTAAGCGTCTAGTAGTAATGATTTTAGTATAACTTGCTTGCATAGGACTTGCAATCAACAGCACTGGTTTTGTCCTGCACTTTGCAAAATCGTCATTTACATTAGGGGGTTAATTATTTTACCCACTATGGATTTGTAAATATTGACTCTTTGCATAATGTAAAGTGTGGTATGCCAAGGTTTACAGAATGTAATATAGCTCTTATTCTATTGCCAACAGTCTGACATTGTTTTATTCGTTACATTTGCTAGTAGCCATCTGATTGTATAGACCCATTCACACGCTGGTTTTATGGTAAAGCCATAATGAGTTTGTACATACTATCAGATGTGTAGGGCTCAGTTGCACTTTGTTTAGTAAATGGATGAAAAATGCATAGCATTTCTGTCTTTTTTTTTTTTTTTAAAAGGTATTTCAGATGTTGTTTGTAACACCTGAAATAGGAAGCTTAAATACTGTTCACCTTTGAAAAAGTTGCATTTGTGGGGTAGATGGCGGCTGCTATTAGCAAAATACCCTAAAGCCTCTTTTTAAGTTAGGAATATATGGATGTCAAGTTTTGGTTTTAAGTAAGGAAAAAAAATGTTTCATAATTGGAGACCTTTATTACTAAGGAGAAAAATTTGGAACAGCCAAATCAAAGCTGAAGTAACGCTTTCGTTATTTTTGTAGTGCGATAATACTTCAACGTTTTAACAATTAAGTGACACGGCATCCTTTCCAGTGGAAATAAATTTTATCTAAATCAGAGTAGTGTTTCAAAATATGCTGGTGGGAGGAAGTGGATCAGTTGAAAGGGTTCACGTGTATGTTTTGGCGTTCAGGCACAGTCTGAAGAGCCACAAATGCCTTGTGGAATTTACAAGTATTTTTGGATTCTTCCCTGTTTGCCTGATCTCAGGAAGGGAAGTAATTGTAGAAAAACTCCCTGTAATGGCTGACCTAAGCAAGACCACTTGATAATAGTAAGCAAATGAAAATTGATGCAAGTTCCCTCCCTGTCCTAACTAGAAATAAGAAATCAGATTAAAAACAGCAGATGACTTGAGTATCTGCAATTTGTGATGAGTATCATTGTAAGCGTCCAGGCATTTCTTTGCAGCAACTTGACTCCTTGCGACATCATCCCAAGTTGCTTTTTAGTTTCAGGGTGACTTGGGATTTCCTCTGAATGTATTTGCATCTTTTCAGTATGCAATATTATATTAGAATGTACTATTTGTTAGACCATTGCATTCTAATAACTGTAGTAGGCCAGATTTCTTGTACGCAGTGTTTACAGAGGCCAGTTTTATGCAAGTTGTTAACTTCAAATCAAATTTTGTGCTATTCTTACTGTACAGCTGAGGTGTGTCAGGCTCCAGCGCTTGCAGTAGTTTCCAATCACAGACTGATGCTTCGGATTCCGAAATGTGAAATATTTAGTGCGGAGGTTTCATTTGACTTGGTGGATGGGTGATAACTAACTGTGTAATTGCATTTGTAACATAACGAATAAAAAACTACTCTGTTGTTCGAATTTAATGTTAGCTACACTTTGCAACTCAGATTTCTATCACAGAACCAAGCAAAGTGTTCTCTCCAATTTATTTTTTTAGGATGAGTGTTAACTAGAAGCAGAGAAAATACTTAATGGCAGAAAAATGCAGTGTAAACCAAAACTGAAATAGCACACCCAATTCTCTGTATTTCCCTTACAAATAAGTTTCTGGAGTAAATGAAGGGAGCTTAGCTTAATTAACAGAACAATGGAAGTTTGTTACTGTTACGCCAGAACTTTGTTAGTAATTTTTGTTCTTTGTGTAAGAAACTCAAGAAATCTCAGCAGGTTCTTTTCTTCTTTATGTGACTCTATTTTCAAAATGTTCTTTTCCAACTGAGAGCACAGGCGAGCCGAATGAGAGTGCTAGTAGTTGCCAGTGGTGAATGCTGAGCGGTCTTCAGTCTCGCTGCTAAAAGAAATCCTCTTCAGTCTGTGCTGACTTCATTGTATTCAGTTCAAAATTACTCAACCCAATTTCTCTTGTTGCTGTGAAGTGCTGTGCCAAGCTGAGAGAATACCCTGAGCTACAGGAGCCCCCAGTCCCTCTGGGCTGCTCCCTGGCCACGATACGACCGGAGATCCAAGGCAGGACAAGATGGTAGCTTTGCTTTCCCACCCTCATCCTTTCATCCCTTCGTCCCCTTCCCGTGGGCCTGGCCACATCCAGCGCCGCAGGCTGCTCTGCCTGCAGCAGATCGTCTGCCCCTGGGTCTCACCCGGGCACCACGAGGCACTTAAGCACAGAATATTAGTCTTTAAAGTTTACATTTTAAGTATATAAATTCTATACATTTTACTTTGTCCTTAATTATTTTAATTTGTCTGCAAAGTATGAAAGGGTCTCTTCTTTTTGTGTTTTAATAGACATTTAAATATGTGGCCATAAAGCAACTAGTAAAGAATAGGAGAGCCAAAACTGCCATTTACAGTAAGCTCCATGTTTGAATAGGTAAATACATTTGTATTAAAATGCAAAACCAGCAGCAGTATTTATTTGCATCTGAAGGAGACAGGTTCCATAGCTCATGTAAAGGTGAAGGCAGCTGTAAGTACTGCTGTGAACTCTGTGCACTTCTGCTCTGCCTACAGGTTCTTTTTCGCCTGGGCTATCCTTTGCTTTAACACAAAAACATTCAGGGGTAATTGTATCTCCCAAGACTGAAAATCTCCTTTTGACAATATGTCATCAGCATGAATTGGTAAACCTACTTATGGAGGATTCTTGTTAACTGGAGAAAGAATTGGTAGCAATATAACAGAGATTAATGTTAGCAAAGTGTAGCGGAAGTGGTAAAGAAAGTGCCTTGACTGGTTCCAACAAAAGAGAAAACATTGTGCAGAGAGTGAAGAGAAAAGGGAACTAGTAACTATCAGTAGTGTGCATTTGCAGCAGATTTTTAAAAGCAGCTACTGTCTACCAAGTCAATGTTCAATTTTTCGTATAAACATGTTGACACTGACTTTCCTTTCTAGTTTTTATCTAGGAAATATTTGGGTTTGTATCTAGTAAGTTTTTGTAGCTAAGGCGTATTGAAGTATTAAAGAATACTGGCAGAGCATCAAAGCTCTTACCTACTGACTCCTGACCTGCATCTGTGAAGTTGTTTTACTATAGGAGGAGGAAAAAAAAAAGTGTTCCAAGACATGCACAGACAAGTCGAGGAAGTGTGGATTCAGTTGTAGATGGGTGGTTTTAAAACAAAAACACATTTTTGCTACTTCCGGTGTGGTCTTGATAAATTAAAAAAAAAAAAAGTCCTTATGCTTTTCTTGATAGGTACAAAATTCCGTATGCAAAAACATGAATATGTGTTTATTATTGTCCCACTATGACAGTTTACTACATTTACTTGTCAACACACTACCATTGGAGCAATAAAAGTGTCAAGCTATTAATATTCAATGTAAATAATTCATCATTTTAGTAAGTAATGTTATGTGATTCTTCTGCCATTTTTTTTGTTTTCTGCTTTTGGTGTTCTTGCGGTGTTGTAACATTACTTGTACTGCTTAAAAAAGTGGTTTTGTTTAAGCTGTATGAAACTTTGTGTTCTTAACATTTTTATTCTGTTTACAAGTGAACAGCCACTTTTTTAATAGGACCTCACATCTTGAGAGTTTTCTTTTTCTTTTTTTTTTTTTTAATTAAAATAAAATTCTAACTGAGCTTGCTTTCTACAATTTACTGCACTGGCTTGTGCCATTAAAAGAAGCTGGAAGTCAGACATGCTTAATCACTTTGAGACATTTTTGTTTAATTAAATTTAAAGATGAAAACCTTTGAATAGCGCAATGTGTTTATGGGGGGGAATCTTTTGCGTCTCTCTCTGTAGCAGCGTGCTGATCAGCTGCGAATGGAATGGCAGTAGTGGTGGGTTTTCTTTGAGACACATTTCTGATATGGCCAGATCAGGTGCTTGCATTGGGTCTTGAAGTATGGTTTGGCTGGTTTAAAGAACAAGACTTGGAAAACTTAGGAATGCTTTCCAAAAAAGAAAACTGCAGAATGATCATCACATTCAGTCTTCCAGATAATTTGTGTGGTTGGATTACAGACCCTCTGGTTGTAAGGACTTCTTGTAGGAGTCTCTTGCTGCAGCATTCCGCTCCGAAAAGCAGAGGGTGTTCTCCGATGCTGTTGTAGTTGCACATCAAAGGGAGCCTAACCTGAGCGTGGATAGCGTGTGCTAGCAAAATAAATCGTTGGCTTATGTAGAGGATTCTGAACGTAGGGCAATGCAGCCTTTTGTGTGTGTTAACAGGCTAGCTGTGTAGCTGTGAAAGCAGGACTTAAAATTAAAGCCTTTGGCTCATCCCTGAGGGAAAAATACTGCATTCCTGAACTGAGCGCATGTGATGTTTTTATTGAAAGTTGGTGTCCTCAGTTGTTTTGGACAAATACAGGAGCATCTGGGTTGACATGCTGTTTAAGCGTGGAACTGTCACTGAATATTGTTTGAGAAATTTAGAGAATGTTACTGTGGTGTTAGACCAAACATAGGAACATTGGGCTGAGTCATGAAGTTAATCCTGTTAGGGTTTACGAGATGTAATTGCCTAGACTATTAGCAAAGGTCCGTTTTAAGAATATTTGGGATTTGGCCCCGACTTCTACTCTTGGAAGGCAGTTTCAGAACTGTTTGGTAGTAAGGCTTACTTTAATGTCTGTGCCAATGTATTTATAATTCTATACCTCTGTCATGTCAATATTGTTCTTCAGCGTAAATAGTTGAAGTGTTCTGGCTGAGTTTATTTTTCTAGTTAAGCTTATAGAGACATAAATCCTCTTAGTCTTCATTTGCTAGACAAAATGAAATGTTAGTCTCCTCTCAAAAGCAAAGTTCTCTGTTTCTGATCATCCTACTTGCACTTGCTTGCATTTATTCCAGTTTGAATTAATTTTCCTTGAATAGGGCTGACCAGAAACAGTCGGATGTTCCAGATAATGGCTCCTGGCTAAGGCACCAGGTATTCCAGTGTAGACAGTTCCCTCTCTTCTGTGAAAATAATATGATCCATTAAATTTAAAGGATCACATTTGTCTCTTTAATGGCTGTATTGTGTTTCTGATTCTGTGATAACTTTGGGACTTTTTCTCTTCAGTCACTTCTAGTTTCTATGAGCTCCCAACAGATGCTCTGATTACTAGGCCCATCAGTCCAGACTCATCATTTGACACTTTGTACTGTTGAATTTCTTGGTACTTACATTACAGCGGTCCTCCCAATCTGCCACCTCTTCTTGCATATGTGCTCCCATTCCTCCTGTAAAAAAAAAAAAAAAAAAAAAAAGAAAAACAAACCCTTTGTCACTGACTGATTCCATCTGCAAAGTTAACAAAAATGTTTTTACTAAAAAGATTAGTTCCAAGATTGATGCCTGAATTCTGCTTGTAATTTTCTAATAGCCCTTTTACTTGGTCCCTTACCTGATTTAAATTTTTCTATTATTTCTCCATCTGACTGAACCAGTAATTTCCTTGTTTATCTGGTAGATCTACCCTAT